GTGCAAAAAAAATAAAACCCAAAAAGTGTGACAGAAAAGTACAGGGTGAGACTTTTTGGCATTGTGCACTGCTGGAAGACGGATTAGATACCCTTATAAGGGTATAGGAAGAAGGGAGGGGATTTGGAAAGGAACTGCATGGCATTTGCTGCTTTGATGAAGCAACAGGACACGTTTGACCTGTCAAGCTATAGTTGTATTACAGGGCAACACAAAGGTTTAAATAACTCAGATGTAAGCAAACAAAAGTTCACCTACGTTAAAATGGTGTCTAATAGCTTTTAAGAGGGCAAGAGCGTCATATGATCAGTTAAAATCATCTCAGGTACAGCTGAAAGGGGATAGATGCACCTAAGACCAAGTGGTAAACAAATCAACAGTAGGCTCAACACAGTGCCAGCACTTCAGTTTGTTCCTTTTTTACTCTTTCATTGTAACTAAGTCATATGTTCTTTTAGCAAGATAATATTAGCTTTGTTCAGTTAGCTACACTACAGTCACAACTGGCAGTTAATGGATTCATATGTTTAGCTACAGTTCATCTCTATATAAGTTAGTTTTTGTGCTGCAGCCCATTTTTTTTAACTCAGGTTAGAGGTAGGCCATCCATCCATCCATCTGTCATCTTTACCACTTGTCCTGAAGAGGATTGCCAGGGGATTGGAGCCAATCCCAGCTGCCATTTGGCGAGAGGTGGGGTACATCCTGGATAGGTTGTCAGTCTATCACAGGGCTGGTACTCAGAGACAGATAACCACATTTGTCCCGACAAGCAATTTAGAGTCGCCAGTCAACCTAAGCCAAAACTGTGTTTCTGGACTGTGGGAGGAAGCCAGAGAACCCGCGCTGATGTTTGACACTGTGAGATGATGCTGCTGGTGTGTGAACTTGGGGGTGTTTTGAAGCATATATCCTGTGTATGTGAGGCACCATGTAAAGTATATGGGATGAACTGCAAAGAAGAGTCACAGAAATCAACCATCAAAGTGTCAGTCAGCATCCAGCATGTCTGAAAACAGCTGCTGAGCACGTCTAGAACATTGCTTCTACTGTCTCCTTTTTTCCCCCCATTTTCTTAATGCAGCATTTCCCCATAGCAAAAGTCTTAATGTAGAGATGGACAGGAAACATGGGAAGTGAAAGCAGAATCAGATACCAGAATGAATGAGTCTCTAACTGGAAATAAAATTGGGATTTGTCAGCCAGTGGTCCGGGAGGATACCTGATTTTTTTTTTTTCTTTCAGGGATTTAAAGGAGCTTACCTGATTAAAAAGAACATTTGTACTCTCAAACTCTTAACTGTTTGTTTTAAAACCTTCAATTGGCAGCATTTAAGCTTGAACACACCCAGTATCTGGGCCTCTTTTGAAGCTAATACATGCCTTTAGAATATTTTGCAAAGCCAGTTGTCAACACACCAAGTTTATTTAAGGTCATGTTTATATATGACAGCCTTCCATTATGCATTTTATTGACCTGGGAATGCAAAAAGTAAAAAAAGTATTCCAGATACCTCATAAAAGATATCAAAGTTCTTATTTGCATTTTGCAGATTCTGTCAGTACAGTAGAGTTTTGTGCATGTTGGAAAGTTGCGCAGTAACCCAAACCTGATTCTACCCTTAACCTTAAAACCTAGAGTCTTAAACCTCAAACAGCCCTTTGAAGACTGGGCAAAATGTTTCCACAATACCAAAATATCCTCCCAACAAGTGTACTACAACTAAACTTTGCCCACACAACCACAGAAGGACATGTATTCTCTCTCTCTCTCTCTCTCTCTCTCTCACTCACACACACACACACACACACGTCCAACTAGGTATGTGAAATGCACATTTGATGTGTTGTGACTTGTCCTTCCTTCCTTCTCATTCTTCCTAGGGACTTTTATTGTGTGGGCCTCTTTTTTTCTCACTCCACACCTCTATTCCTGATCACGTTTCAGTTATGACTACGCAGGATGTGCTCACACAGCTTATGATCGTCATGTTGTGTGTCTTACAGTGCCTTGCGAAAGTATTTGGCCCCCTTGAACTTTGCGACCTTTTGCCACACTTCAAGCTTCAAACATAAAGATATAAAACTGTAATTTTTTGTGAAGAATCAAAAACAAGTGGGACACAATCATGAAGTGGAACGAAATTTATTGGATATTTCAAACTTTTTTAACAAATAAAAAACTGAAAAATTGGGCGTGCAAAATTATTCAGCCCCCTTAAGTTAATACTTTGTAGCGCCACCTTTTGCTGCGATTACAGCTGTAAGTCGCTTGGGGTATGTCTCTATCAGTTTTGCACATTGAGAGACTGAAATTTTTGCCCATTCCTCCTTGCAAAACAGCTCGAGCTCAGTGAGGTTGGATGGAGAGCGTTTGTGAACAGCAGTTTTCAGTTCTTTCCACAGATTCTCAAATCAACTGCACAAATCTGGCCTTTATGGAAGAGTGGCAAGAAGAAAGCCATTTCTTAAAGATATCCATAAAAAGTGTCGTTTAAAGTTTGCCACAAGCCACCTGGGAGACACACCAAACATGTGGAAGAAGGTGCTCTGGTCAGATGAAACCAAAATCGAACTTTTTGGCAACAATGCAAAACGTTATGTTTGGCGTAAAAGCAAGACAGCTCATCACCCTGAACACACCATCCCCATTGTCAAACATGGTGGTGGCAGCATCATGTTTTGGGCCTGCTTTTCTTCAGCAGGGACAGGGAAGATGGTTAAAATTGATGGGAAGATGGATGGAGCCAAATACAGGACCATTCTGGAAGGAAACCTGATGGAGTCTGCAAAAGACCTGAGACTGGGACGGAGATTTGTCTTCCAACAAGACAATGATCCAAAACATAAAGCAAAATCTACAATGGAATGGTTCACAAATAAACATATCCAGGTGTTAGAATGGTCAAGTCAAAGTCCAGACCTGAATCCAATCGAGAATCTGTGGAAAGAACTGAAAACTGCTGTTCACAAATGCTCTCCATCCAACCTCACTGAGCTCGAGCTGTTTTGCAAGGAGGCATGGGCAAAAATTTCAGTCTCTCGATGTGCAAAACTGATAGAGACATACCCCAAGCGATTTACAGCTGTAATCGCAGCAAAAGGTGGCGCTACAACGTATTAACTTAAGGGGGTTGAATAATTTTGCACGCCCAATTTTTCAGTTTTTTATTTGTTAAAAACGTTTGAAATATCCAATAAATTTCGTTCCACTTCATGATTGTGTCCCACTTGTTGTTGATTCTTCACAAAAAATTACAGTTTTATATCTTTATGTTTGAAGCCTGAAATGTGGCAAAAGGTTGCAAAGTTCAAGGGGGCCGAATACTTTCGCAAGGCACTGTAATTGTGTAGTTGCTGACTAAATCACGTATCTCGAACCACCACCTGGGCAATGCATCATTCAGACTACCAGAATTATTAAAGAGTCATTTTTCCCAAATTACATTCTTTTTTTTTTCCTCATGTACCACTGGTATCGTTCCACTAGGTGACTGAATAATAGCTCTTACCTCTGGAGCTGAACCAGCCAAATAAATAAAATAAAACAAAACAGCACCTGACAACAGTTAGTGTATTACATAAAATTGAATTAACTTAAATTAATGTTCTCACCCACAATTACAATAGTAGTCATAAATGAAGCAGCAGCAGCAAAACATTTTAAAATGACATCTATTTTATCATTTTAAAATAAACTTGTCAGGTTTAAAAACCTGATAAATTTAAGGCACTTCAATGACAATCATTGCTCAGTAAATAACAGCCTTTTGTATAATATATTTTCTTTAACCTCTGAAGGTTGATATTTCATAAAAGTACAAAAAAGTGTTTTGATGTTAGCAGGCACGGCCTTGTTTTAGTTGAGGTGCACCTCAGGAAACTGAAAAGAATGCGATTGGTCCGCAGGATGTCAGCTGTTTTAACAGAGCTGCTGATTCAGTAGACTAGTTTGAAAACAGACCTTTCATAGTGATGATCTCTGAGTTTTTAATATATCAGATATGAAACTGGATTCACGCACAAACAATGAGGAGACCAATATTTCAGAGCACAAAAAAGTAACCGTGTCAGTGTTGGATAGCTCTCAAGGTAAATGAATTTTTGTTTTGATATTTGGGCGCATCCCAAAATGTCCTGTTTCCTCTCAGGCGACGCCACAGTAACCATTGCACACAGATGTACACCAATGGAACGGCTGAAGGAGCTCACCAGTCTGGCCGATATCATTATTGCAGCTGCAGGTATTTACACATCCTGACACCAGTAAGACACAATCTCAAATGGATTCATTTGCAATATCGTACATAGGATTTCACTCAGCTTTCAGGCTATTGTGGTCATGTTTCTAATAAATGGTCTTTTACCTGATGGCTAAATGCAGCTCTCTGGGAAGGACACCATAGGGTCCCCCCCCCATTCAATTATTAGGTATTAATTTCTAAAATAAAAAAAATGTATTAACACTGGGCTGTATGAGTAAGTGGACCTTGGCACACATAGTTGAAAATCAAGCCTGCACTGAGGAGTAAATTGCTGTGAAACCTGGACTAATTCCAGTTAGTAGGCAGGTAGACCCAGGGTGTATCTTGGTGTCACCCCTCCCGTGTCTGTGTGCTATATTTGAACGTTGGTTATAATTACAGTCTGAGGAACCACCTTCAAAGTGGAGTGGTTCTCAAAATAAGTATGTAATATTTAATTATTTCCTTCCTCACAGGCAGTCAGCTGAGGTATCAACTTATTCTGCTATGCTGCCTTTTATAAGTTCAAGAGTTAGAGGGACTTCCTTCAACAAGGTGATTCAGGCTTGAAATTCACTGTTAAACACTGTTCTCTTAAAAGTTAAACATCCCTGTGCTCGTGTCCCAAAGCTGAGCTACCAACCAGCCAACAGCCTTTGGGCCCCAGACCGCGAGGTGCCTCAGAAAGCGCCAGCCAGGTTCACTGCTCTGGCCAGTTTTGGTCGTCTGATTGAATGGAATATGCAGCACAGTACCAGCAAACATGTTGAGGGCCTGAAGATATGTCTTTCTTTATTACCTGATCTTAAAACAGTGTCTTGAATAGAGACCTAATCTGACACTTTATTTATTAGCTGATTATTTTACTTGCAATGTGCGTGCAGTATAAAATCACACTTGGACAAGTTAATAAAGTATTTTCTAACTGTAAGCCCCCTTCTTGGTTTCTGTGCATAGGTGTTCCCAGGCTGATCACAGCAGATATGATTAAAGAGGGCGCAGCAGTCATTGACGTGGGCATAAATCGCATCCAGGACCCAAATACGGGGAAACTCCGGCTCATTGGTGACGTGGACTTTGAGGGTAAACAGTAAAAAAAGTTTGTTAGAATTTGTTTAGAAAGAAAGGTTTTTACAAAATTGTACACATTCTAAGTAATTTGTATTAAAAAAAAAATTACAACAAATCATATATATATTTTTACTGTGCTAACACCAATATTAACTTTTGACAGTAGTACTTCAGTCATTTATATTATGTCAGATTGCCAAACCGCTTATCATTTATTTTACCTTTTGGCTCCTGTGAAAATATCCCCTCTCACCACTGGAGTGCTAATTTGTTTGACAAACAATAGGTTTCTTACTGCTGACAGATAAATGCAGGACTCCCGGGATCCAAGATCGTTTTACTGCGCATAATGTTGCCTGATAATGTGCCTGTCAATCTTTGCTCTGATCTAGGAAGGATGTTATTTAACTCCAAGTTAATTGTTTGACTTGTAGGAGTGAAGGAGAAGGCAGGTTTCATCACTCCAGTCCCCGGAGGCGTGGGTCCGATGACAGTCGCCATGCTGATGAAGAACACTGTGACTGCTGCTAGAAACGCACTGATTCATTAACCTCAGATACAGTACAAAGCCATTTGTTTTAATCAATGCAGTTCAAAAGATACGCATACAAACACACACATACATCTTCCCAAACATCTAACGCACTTTTATTTAAAATCCATGAGCTGGGAAACTTACTTGATATGTTGTGAATTTGTTCATGTATTTATCTAAGTTATTTGTTTCAGAGTTCATTTTCTAAGAGTTCAGATATTTTTTCTACTGAAATTGTTTTGGTTCATTTTTTAACATTCCAGATTTCCTGGAAAAGGAAGATTAAATAAACTCTGCTGTGCCAACATTACGCTTTCTCACCTTTGTTTCTTCTAGGTGTTTAGTAAAGGATAGGTTCACAATGCAGTACTCACATGCCCGTATGAAGCTACATCAAAAATGTTGTTTGTCTCTGTCATTTTCCTTCTGTGTTCTTGAGGAGGTCTGTTCCTAAATCAGATTTGGATGTAAGAAAAATCCACACTTTGTTCTGTGTAAAATGCATTGCAGAGTTAAGCAGAGGCTAAAATGGCACAACGATCTGAGTTAGAATAATTCTTTCACAGGTTCAGTTCTTTGAGTATAAAGTCTGCCTTTGTGTTTCTCAGACATAGTTTCTTACAATAGAATTTTTTCAGAAACAGATTTGACAGTATCTTCTTGTAATCACTCCTCTGAAGAAATGAAGGGTTTCACAACACCTGTAATCATCAATGAAGCTACGTTATGAAACTGCAAAGGCGGCATTTGAGTGAAACTGTCAATCTGCCCGGGGCTTGCGTGGGCTCCAAAGAAGAGCCTCTGGCTAATCACGTGCCACCCCACCACCATCGTCAGACTAGATTTGTCTCTGCACGTAGAGCCGGTGCAAATTTCTGGAAGAACCTGCTTCTCATTTTTCACAAAATCATCCATTGATTGGCTGGTAAAACCATTTCAGTGGTTGGAGCATAGTATATAAGCTCAACAAATGCCTGGTTTTTATCACTGCACAGACAAACGGAGTTGAGCTTAAAACATCAGACATCGCTCTGCAAGATGTTTTCACAAAAACAAACATACCTGGAGAAGGGTAAGTGTGTAGTTTATTCTGTGGTGTCAATTTGAATAATGCTCCTCGATACAGTACCATTGAAATGTGATTTTTTGGTGATGCAACACTTTTCATAAAACTAGAGAAAGGACAAGTTGTTTTTTTTCTTATATTTATAATAACAGGTGCAGTGTGACTTTTGTATCACATGAGAGCAAAATAAACCCTTTTCACAGTACAAATCAAACCACTTAATTCTGCATTTTTTGTTATTTGCCTTCATGTTTTCCAGCCCTCCTCTCAGAAATGGCACTGCTGCTTCTCCTGACCACAGCAGGACAGTCGACAGCGCTGACTCACAGCCCCCAGACCACAGAAACTCCTCTTCTCTCAAACGTATTGCTGACCACACAGCTCAACAACAGTAAGTGTCAGCTTGTGTGAGGAGCACTGGCCTCTGTGGGGCCCAGCTGTGCTACTCAATAATCAGCTGACTAAATAAAATAATATATGATCAAAACTGCAGTAATGGGTCCCACCTCTTGCCACAATGGAAAATAAAATGTAGACTCAAAAGCAACAAATGTGAAAAATGTATTCTCACTTTTATTAATCAGCAGTTCAGTACCTTTGTATTGTTTTTATTAGTTTTATTAATTCATTTTTGTCTGTTGGTTTATTTTTCCACCAGTTGTGCACTTAATTTATTCATTAAGTGATTCAGTTAGTTGATTGATTAATGACTGTTTTAAAATGTGATTATTGATTTCGATGCTAATGCTCTCTGTCTCTCTCTATAGGCAGCATGGACAGTGCTCTGGTTATGCACTCACACAGGCCATGTAGAAGCGAACATGAAAATTACTGTGAAAACGGTGGAGAGTGCATGTACCCGCAAGACAATGACAAACCTTTTTGCATGTAAGAAAAAAATAAAGTGTTACTATGCACACACCTACCATAGAGGTAACCTGTGTATCCTGAATTTGATCAACAAACACGTTGGTTCGTGTTCACACCTTTGGAACGCACTCACATATTTCTCTGACTGGTCTGCAGCTGCACATCCTCGTACAGTGGGCCTCGCTGCTTGTTCTTCAATGGTCACACTCGCTCTCTGCCTGAGATAGAGCAGCTAATTGGCATCAGCATTGGGGTAGTCATGCTCATCTTTCTTCTGGCCATCGCCATTTACTGCTTTGCCCATCAAAGGTGAGCATCTATGCACTTTTCTTTGTTTCTTCAGAGCAATCTTTGTATATTTACAGAGAAGGGTAAGTTTATGGTTTTTTGCATTGCACAGTGGCAAAAATGTTGCCAACAGCAACTGAATAAGTTCTAATTCAGATGTTTATTTTTATTTTTCAGGTGTATAAAATCAGCACCACTCATAAAATCGGCACCATCTGAGATGTTTGTGTGACGCCCATCATTTCATTATACCATGTAATTTATCATTCAAACAAGCAAATGCTGTGAAATGAAGTCATCTACAGTAGATGGGGAAACACTTAACTGTGTCTCATGTGTCAGAGAGGGTCAGGTATTAATCATTTCATTGTCCTGTAAAGAACGAGGGTGAGAAAATAAGCCTATTTATTGTAATATAAGTGCTTATTGTATTTATTGTATTTATACTTTTGTAATAAAATTATGAAATATTTAATTGTTGCTTGAATTTTTGTGTGTAAAAGATGAATGCACAAATAAACATGCCTTATTGTTAATGTATTGCTTAGGAGATGGAGTTTTGTGTGGAAGGCCTAAGAAGCATTTTTTTATATCTTGGAAGAGGATACTGTAATTAAATGTGTGATTTGCGTGTATTTCTAACTTGAAAGCACAAAAACCACTGATCCACTGACAAACTAGAAGACTGAACTGTTGACTCTACAGGAGCACAAAGAATCTAATTAGATGACATTTTATTAGATAACAAAATGAACATGTGAAAGAGCCACATGCAGAAGACAAAGAGTAAACAGTATACACACCTGCAGCAGCTGATGACCTACTGTATACAAAACGGAGTGGACCAGGGAATAGGGATGAAGCAAATGTAATTTTGATCAGCTAACACACAGCTAGTTAAAATTAATGTTGAAGCATAGGGGAATAAAATAAGATCACAGGAAAACATGTAACACTGCACATAACCATTGGCAAACAAGGTGAAATACCAGCTTAGACAATAAGTCTATAAAGCAACCTGTGTGGTAAATACTTATTAAGGCAAGTTTAAAAAATAAATACATTCTTACAATAACTTGTTAATAAAAAGTTAAAGGAACATAACAGGTAGCCAAGATTATCTTAGGAAATTCCAAATGATAGACCTTAAACACATCCACAGGTACTACAGTATATGTGGTTGGGCAAAGTAACTAAGTACATTTGTTCAATATGAAATCGTTTCTCCCATCTACTTCCTGTTCCACTACAGTTCACAGGCAAATATTGTACTTTTAACTGCACTAGATTTATTTTTCTGCTATTTTTTTAGAGTTGCTTTATAGATTAAAAATATTTCGAAAAAAAAAAACAATACGATGAGGTTGTAAAATCCTTTTTTTTAAAGTTAAACTGTATAAAGTTAAAAATGTATTTAAATTAACTCCACCTCGAGCAGCTGCAACAGTAAAACATGATTCTTGCAACAGCAGTTTTAATACTTTAATTTTGCTGATAATGTTTCTGTCCTCTGAAGTACACACACAGAACACTGGGCCAAATTTAACCCAGTCTGGGCCAATACTTATTTTTCATCTTAATATTCAGCTTTGTTTTTTTGAAAGAGTGAAGAACTTTCACTTGTATTTGTGCATTATTGTATAACTGCGTATAGGATCTTAATGTTTCTTCCAAATGTTTGTCTTGGTACAAAATACACCTGAACTCCTTTCAGGATTAGTAGGATGAGGGTGTTAGAAGCAGTTCTTCCTTTGAAACTAGCTGCCTCTAGGGTCTGTCTTTATTTTGGAAGTCTGAAGTGTAAAATTGTCTAAATTGCATGAGTCTCTCACCACACCCAGACCGCAGGATTGGTTTCTTGTCTCTAGAGGTTTCGCCTGCCCCCTTACCTAATGGTTATTTTGAAGAGTCGGAAGCGGCTCTAATCCACTTACCTGTGCGCCCACCGAGCCTCGGTCCCGTCAGACAGCCACCAGTCGCCACTGAGATGAGGAACAGCACAGCTTCAGCGCTCCTTTCGCTTGTCGGTGAGTTGTGTTTGTTTAATGTTTGACATGAGGAAGTCGGGTTCACACACTTAGTTTAGTCAGACACTGCTGTGATGTGACGGGTCGATCATTGACGGTGAGGTTCAGGTGTGGACCGGTGTAAAACAGGAACAGATGGGAAAAGACTTTTAAACCACTGGTAGCTTTTACTTAGACCGATTACGCGCAGTTTTGACGCACTGGTAGCATACCTGAGTATCTTCTGTGCTGTTTTATAGTAGGCTGCTACTACAACATTTAAGGAAACCTTTCACTGCGTTTTCACTACATTTATTACTGATATTGATTAAACTATCAGTGACATATAATCCAGTGATCAGCCTAATAACAGAATAAAACTCACAGAGGCGTTTTGAGGGGTAAAACCTTTAGCCGAGTAGTCTTCTGTACATTTCTTAGCCTAAGTAACATTTTGAATGCAGGACTTTTATACTTGTATTCGATTATTTTTCCACTGTATTACACGTTTTTCACTGCAGCAACTTTTGTAACACTAGTTATATTTATCTGCATTTGTAGTTCCTCAGTACTTTGAGTCTTCCAGGCATAAGTAAAGTATTCATATTCTTTGCATGAAAGCAGTAATACTAGTGTAAAAGTACTCCATTACAACTAAATACCCTGAATTTTAAAATGTACTTAACTGCTGAAATATCGTCAGTACCACAAAAATACTCCATTTTGCAGAAAAAGAGGGATTTTTTTTTTAATAAAGTGTATTACATTATTTAATTGTTAGTGATGAATGTATTTCAGTGTTGCAGCTTGTTTAGGTGAAGCTAACTTGGAGTTAAGTTGCAGTTGTTGCTGATCTTTAGGGGTCTAGAGACTCAAAAGATAAATCTGATGGGTTGTGAAATGAATAATAGGCAGGGAAATTAAACATATGTGTCCAAATACCTGGAAACTACTTAAGTGCTGTACTTGACTAAATATATTTAGTTACTGCACACCAGTGGCAGCTTGGAGTTTTACTTTCAACAACTTAGAGACTTAGATCAATACTTTGATTTTCCAACAAACATATAGTTTTAGTAGTATATTTTTACATTAGGGGTATTTTACATGGAATTTTACGTAGATGGTCTGATTTCCTCTTCTAACAATTGTTAAAGAAGACAAATAATGGCCACAAATGAGACCTTCTTTTCAGAAATCAACCTTGATGGAGGTTTTGGAGTCGTTTTAAATATTTTGCCACATGCCTGTGTTAATGAGCTGACGCCCAGCACCCGAGGGATGCTGAAGCTTGCTGGCAATTAAACTATGAATGGAAGATTTATTTTTTCCAAACTCATGCGGTCGTTGGCAACTCATGGCGCTTGTTGTTTAGGATCATACTCATAAAACAAAAATAAACAGGAACCAATATATATGAACTGTTGAGTACCAGTGGAGGAAGTACTCAGGTCCTTTACTTGAGTAAATGTACTAATACTACAATGGAAAAATTCTAGGGAATTTAGGACACAGCTAATTGTCATACAGGACACAGCAGGTCCAAATATGACAAGATTTTCGTGATTAACAGATCATGATACAGTAGCAGTCTGTCACTGATAACCTTTGCTCCATTTACTGCTCCCGAACATGTGGGACAGGTCCAATAAGTGGCCCCTTCTTACCTTAACCCTTTAAAAACAGATGTGAGGATTTACAGTAGAAACTATAAACTGAACAGCATTTCACATAAAGACTTGTTTTTCTAACTATTGTGCAAAGTGTTGGAAAATAGTTTTATTCTTATCTCAGTTACTGTGATGGGGTAATATGTATATTGAGAATATAAGCATGTAAATGGACTAAATTGATACAGAAATGTTGCTGTGTACGATATTGTCAGCGTACTGCGTACTTTGCACCAATCAGCCACGTCAGAAACACCCAACAACCAGCATGTGTCCTCTCACTGAAAAAACAGTGGGAAATATCTCTGCAGCCATAACAACAGACGGGAAAAGAAACCCAGAGGCCAGCAAGTATAACCAGATTTACGGTATAACGAGTCATATCCACACACAGCTTGGATCCAGATTCGTGTGTTTTTGTTGTACCTGCAGGAATGTGGGCGTCGGCAAATGCTATGCATAATAAAGGTGTGCAGGCTGATACAGGCATGAGGGCCAGGCAACACAGGCCACACCACATCACATCCTGGTTGGGAAAGTTTACAGCAGGGAATCTGATGTTTCTTGCTAAAAATGGGTCTTTTCCGCAAATTAGTGAGTTTTGAATATTTCCTTAATACTAGTGTGGGTCTTATCTAAACCTAAGCAACACAGATCATTTTGGAATGCACAATATGATCCAGATAAACATTCCCTTGCTCATTTATCAAGTTATTTGTTTTTTTAAACACATCGATGTTCTTAATAATACTCATCTCATCTCATCATGTGATCTGCTGACCTTGCACTATATCCAATGTAGTTAATGAGGCAAATGTTGTCTTACAAACAGGTGTCATGCTGCTCTGGCCATATGTACTGGCCAAAAGCGTCTCGTCCGTACAACTGACTGCAGACAGGGCTTCTCTATCTACAGGTATTTACCCCGACAACTGTTGTGATGACATTTTATTACAAGATAACAAATAACTTTGTCAAGTATAATAAATGTGCAGGGATTGGAAACATAATTCCAAGTTTTGTAATGTTTTACACAACTGGAAGTAAAATCACAAGGGATGGTACATCCTCCATAACTATAGATAATATTCTTTTCATTTAGTATCATGTTTGGCATGAAGCTGTACAAGGACGTGTATTGTAACAGTGATGAACTGTGCAATTAAACAGGATTGTTGTATTTAAGGAGCATTTCTTACTCGGTATGAAGAGCGCATAATGCAAAATGGCCAACAGTTTTAAAGATTTATTAATTGCTTGAGTAACTTTAAGTTAAAATACCAGACATTTGCTGGTAACAGCTTCTCCAGTGTGAGGGTTTGCTGCTTCTATATAACTGTAAACTGAATATCTTTGGCTTTTCTTCTGTTGGTTGGACAAATCAAAACATGAAGATGTCAGCTTGGGGTCTATGAAGTTATACTGGGGATTTTTAAAAAATAATTTTTGGACATCTCATAGATAAAACAATTCACTGATAGACTGAAAAAAATATTGTTAGATTATTTGATAATGAAAATAATGCACAGGCTTTTCAGTTATGCTCTGAAGGGCTTTAAAATGAATAAAAATATGTTTTACACTAAATGGTGGTAGTTATTGCCCTGCGAGGTCTGACAGAATGCCACTCAGTGAAAATGATGCAGATGTTTGATGAAAAGGTTTGCAACAGCTGTCTGAATGCTGGTGTTTCAGGGCAGGAAGAAGAGCGCCCTCATGTGATGAAGCGGTCAACGCAGAGCTGCAACAGCACGTTTGACAACTACTGTCTGAACAACGGCCAGTGCATGCTGCTGGTGGATATCAATGAACACCACTGCAAGTACGATCCTGGGTGTGAATATGTGCGTCTGATACTTTCAGTCAGCAGGTGTGATTATGTGTGATACGTCTCTTTGTGTTGCAGATGCGAGGGGGGCTTCTATGGCTCCAGGTGTGACAAAATGGAGCTGGTCACTCAGCCAATGGCAGAAGGGCAGATAGTAGCCACGGTTTTCTGTGTGACTCTGCTGATTATAGGTCTGGCCGGAGCTCTGTACCTCTGCTACAAATGGTAAGGCTTTCACCTGTGAATGAACGCACATGTGTTTGCAATAGTAATGACTTTTAATGTGTGACCTCATTATTTCTGAGTGTTTGATATATGAAGGGAAATTAGCCCTGTTATTGTTAACCTTGTTAACGTTGATAATGATTATCAGAAGTGGAACATTTACTGAAGTACTGAACATAAGTATAATTTTGGGGTATCTGTAATTCACTCGAGTGTTTTCATTTTCTGCTACTTCATACTTTAACATCCCTTCATTTCAGAGGCAGTTATTGTATTTTTTACTCCACTGCATTTATTTGATAACTTTAGTCATTAGTTACTTTTCAGGATCAGATTAATAAAACAAATGACAGTATAATCATAAGACTTTATCGATGCCCGGTGGGAAATTGATGGCCCAGCAGTAATTAAAATTACAAGCATATAAAGTAGTTACAATTAGCTCTATACCAGCTGCAACACTAAATGTGATGTATACAATAATACATCAAACATTTTTATTTTTAATTAATGGGAACTGTGCCATTCTGCATAATGAGTACTTTTACTTTTGGTACTTAGAGTATAGTTTAGTATTGTTGTAGTATTAGCTTTGTTGCTAATGCTTTTGTACTTAAGTAACATTTTGAATGTAAGACTTTTATTTGTAACAGAGTATTTTTACACTATGGTATTGCTGCTTAAAGGATATGTCAGGCCATTTTTTTATATTGATAGTATTTTCAGTCATCTCCATACAGAGACTGCAACAGACAGTGAGTCAACTTACAGTTCATGTCTGTCAGCCATCAGTCTTGGATTAGCTTGTTTGTTTGTGCGACAGACCTCCATTGTTATCCAAAAACAATTAAAAACACATCAAGGAAATGCACCACCGCACTGGGTGACGCGTTTTTTTTTTCCATTACGAAACCCAACCTATGTTGCCCCAAAGGTGGCATACAGCCATAGTTTCCTGAAATTAGCAGGAGTCAGCATAAGCATGCGGCAATTCATTATCAGTTTTAATTTCTGTATGGGCAGTGCTGAAAATTTCCTAGCCTTATCCTTTAAGTAAACCCCTTAAGTACCTTTTTTAGCCTTTATTTTGTTTTCTTTTTTACCTGAAAACATTGCATTTAAAATTTTTGACTGACATTTTAGACATGTCAGACATTACTTTTTGCCACCGTTGGCTCCTTGTGCTGTATGGCAGAGACCTCAATCAGGCACAAACACTATGTCAGTTCACTCCAGGTTGCTATGCAGGTTTCTCAGAACGGAACAAGGGCTTATGAGTATTTCCATTTTCTTCTGTAATGTACTTGATCTGAATAAAGTGGCACTTATTTATAAAATATATATAATAAAATACATCATAAATAATGTAGATGGATTTAGATGAGACCAGATTACATATAAAGTAGTTAAAACTGGCATTACCTTGACAGCAAACTAGCTCTTTGTTTTTCAAGTCAAGCCCCAAGTGTAAACCTCAAAGGATGATTATAAACTCAGTCATTTCTTTTTACACTGACACTGCATCAGTTTTAATTTTACTACAGGGATTTTAAAGACTTTTTTAAAAAAAAGTAGGAACAAAGTTATTGATTTGATTAGTGTATTTTGAAGTACACTAAATGAAGTACTGTGTTGTTTTTACAGGTATAAAAAGAACAGATTCCTACGTCAGCAGAAGCAGCAGGGTTACAAAGGAGTCCCGGCTGTCTAGAGCGTCACACACACGTATCCACTGCATCGACTGCTGGTAAAGGCAAACCAGGATTTCCCCCAGTTTTCAAGTTTCAACAGACCATGACATTACCTGACAAGCTTTCACTCAGTGTCTGGTTTATGCTCACAGTACTGTATGTCATATGGCTTTGGATCACTTTATCAAAGAAACACGTCAGTACAAAGAGATCCGAATGTCCAAAAATAAATCGCAGCTTTGTTTGCTTTGTGATTGTTGTTTCCAGCTGCACTGGTTCTAATGTTTCAGGACCTGCTTGTGTTTGAAAAGATGTAAAGTGAGACACATAAAAATACAGTAGTTTGTGTGAGTGACACCGCCCACAGCTGTGGTGGGTCATGGAAATTTAATGGAAAATGACCCTTCACAGGTGGTGAAGTCAGACTGGTGGTGGGTCAGACTGGACCAGTTCAAGTGTTAGACATTTCTAATCCCTTGTAGTGATCTGCGCTTTCAGAAGGGAGGTGAACCTCATCATGCGGCTTTTGTACTTTTCATGCAAAGAGTCATAGATTAGCATCAGATTTAGGTGAATTTGGCTGATAGTAAATGTCATAATCATTATATCGTCACACCATAATTTTTTCATGTTAAGCTACGTGTCTTTGATGCTAGTTAAAGTGAGATCTTATTTCAAGATTTCGAAGTGCTAATTTTTTTTAGGTTCAGTGAGGTCGGAGCATCAGAGATCCAAAATTAAAGCTGCCTTTTCTATTCTGAATTACTTCCAAGTTTTACAGTTTAATTGCTCTTTAAATCTAGCTTCTAATTTATATTAAGCATTTCTGCCTGGTTTAGCTTTTATTTATTGTTGCTTTTTAACCTTTGTAGCTAAATATTTAGCATTACTACTGCTGTTAAACCTGCCACTGAATGCGTTAACTGTTTTTATTATTTGAACATCTGCTTAGTCAATGTGCTCTTATTTTGGTAATTTATTATAAAGTATAAATGTGTACACTGAGATCCTGTCCGTTATGGAAGCTCTGTTACTACTACAAAACCGAATACAACTTGAAGTTTTTATAACTTTTGTATGAATTTCTTTTTCTGTGTTAATGCCCTCAGTCATACTGCATATGGTTTTGCTGTCAAAAGGGTTCAGCCGAGTCTTCATGCACAGATGATCACCAAATACTCTATAATGACTGTAACTTTTTACATGATGTTTTTGCAATGGCAGTATTAGTTGTACATGTACCAAACATGTTTGTTACAATATAAATTAAAGCAAATACAATGTGAATTTGCTCTTTGTACTCCCTTATTTAAAATACCGATTTTCATCTCTGTGAACCTTTTCTAGACTTTAGTTTCAGGACACAAGTGTGAATTCTTTTGAAATTGTATTGTATTGTAGGTAGGTAGGTAGGACTTTATTGATCCCACAATGGGGAAATTCCTGTGTTCCAGCAGCAATAGAGAGCAGCAACAAGACACCATAAGAACAAACGGCACACACATATCTTGAGAAACAAATTCCAAAGTACCTAAAACCTGACACAATATAGTATTTGAGAGACAATCAAGAACAAGAATGATCCTCCCACAATTAATCCCTGAGAACAATCAAAATACCCAAGGACAAGACAAAATATAGTGTTCAAGTCTCTGTGACAGAATGCATTAAGCGGGTCAACCATCTGATAATACAGAAACTTTCCAATTTTTTTAAAAAGATTACCCATGTCTTGTGCAAACTGAAAACTTCAACACACCTGTGTACGCTCAGGATTGGTAAGACCTACACACTACTACCCAGAAGATGGGTGGATGGAAGAATCTGACAGTGTGACTTTGCTGTCTGACAAGGGTCTGTTGTAGAGTGACCTTCACTGACCCTTACATATAATTACATTATGAGGATCAATATTCATGGTCAACAAAAAGCATTGCAAATATCTCGATCCGTCTGATTTAACACACAGTGGGGTTAAAACAAACTGTTCTGTTTTATAACTCTAAATTTGTTTGTCTGGCTTTTTAGTACCCCTATTTAGCATTTATAAGCAGTATACAAACATTTAATAAATGTTTATTGCACACTATAAAGTAATGTTATGAAGGGCATTTTATTATACAGTATCTGCCAACCTTTGTAATGTTTCCAAGTTATTGTTTTACTATATTGTTGTTATTATCTGTATGCACCAGCCTCCATTTATAGGTGCCCACAGGAAGAGATTATTTTCTTCTAAACTTAATGCTAAAATATAAGGTTGCACGATCATTCTAAGCTTGTATAGTGCAATAAATATTGTATGTCTGTGGTATGGTCGTCATCACGTGGCCAACTAAAGGCAGTGTCGGGCGTCAGGTTAATCAGTACCACCATTTCACTCCCTGCGCCTTCATTAGTACTTGAGCCAGAGTCAATGAGGCATTTTTAACACCTGACTGGGGCATCTTTATACGTTCTGTATGCTAATGAACAGCAATGCTCACACATAAACATTAACTCACCTGCTGACACCACTCTTTTAAAGACATTTCAAAACACATAAGCACGCACGAGGACAAAGACACAAACACACCCACTCAGGGGCGTACATTTTGTTCTAAATATAAAATCTGTGGATAAACATATACCCAAAATGCAGATGCCGCTCTAATCTCTGTACTGTGCTAATTGTGTTGTTACCTAATTATTTCATAAGTTATAGTGGCTTGCTCATGCAGTGAGTAATGTGGTTGGTGGAAGCCCCGCTAAGCTGTATCCTTGCCTGTCCTTTAACAAAACAAAATGTCCATGTGTACACTTTTGTTTTGCAGCTCAAGGCTAGCTCATTTTCACTGTCGTTCTTGTTAGCAATGCTAACATAACGTATGGCTCTGTAGTAGGGATGACAGTGCCGCTCTGTTGTTTGGGCCACCACTTTGGTCTAGAAGACCTCAACAGCTTTAGGATGGATTGCTCCGAAAGTGTAATCATTGTAACTGACATTTATATTAGGGCCAAACAAATGCTTATCAGTAGTTACATGTGTGTATGCACCCATAACCTATAAGTCTTGTTTGTACTTGGTATAGGCAATTAAAAAGGCAGTTTATGTTAGATCTGCTCGGACACAGAGGTGAGCGAGCAAAAAAGGACAAACCCAGGTGGCTGACTTCAGTGCAAGTAGTGCTCGGTTTATTTACAGTGATATCAACAAGGAAGTGAATAACCAGGTAGAACTGGGACCAGGTGTCGAGCCGCAGAAGGTGAATAACAGTCAGTGGTGGAATGATGAGGAGAAGACCGGGCTGTGGACGCTGGGACTCACTCCTGGGCTGGTCGTGGTGGAAAGTACTGAGGAAGAACAGAGTTTGTACATACAGTTAGTAGGAGACTGTGCATCGACCTGCGTGGTGGAGAAGGAGCCGGGTAGAGGACAGAGGCGAGGAGGAATGAAACAATGGAGCTAAAGACTGGAACAGAGCTAGGGCGACAAAACGTGAAGATACTAATACAGTAAAAGAGAACGGGAAACAAACGGGCCTGATAACGCTAGAAAGAACTGGCAGGGGAGTGAACGTAGAGCAGGGAATAAATAGGGAGAACTAATCAGGTGCAGCTGGTGGTAATCAGGGGATATGAAGCAGGTGTGTCGGATAACGTAATCAAGGTAAGGGAGCAAAAACAGATTGAGGGGAGTAAGAAATTCAGGTGCAGCCGGGCAAACCTGACAGTTTAATTATGAAAGCTACAAAGCTTCTGTGAAAAGACATGATTTAAAGTTTTATCTGTATTTGTGTATCTCAAGGTTTTCATCCTTCATGAAGATAATGTAATTATGTGAAAATCAGGAGCAGGATCTGACCCAAACTATGCCTCTTCCATTTACACACTATTAACCCACTCAAACTTCCATACTTCTGTTTCCGCTTTTTGTTTGAATGGCCAAAGCTCCATCTGTGTGTGCCTGTTCACCATCAACTCTGTCTCACTTCACTTGCAGATGCTGGACTATTCCTTAGATGGTCCTGTCAACCTGGACGCTTCTGCTGGCATTTGGGCCATGGGGTCGCCCCTCCTCCTCTGCTGGTGTGGCTGCAGCTTCTCATTCCATGCCTTTGGCCAGACCTTCTGTTTCCTTTATTTTTCCTCTGCCATCCTGTCTTTCGGATACCGGGCCACCTGTTCTCTCCCTTGTTCATTTCATTTTTTTCTAAACCTTGAGACTCTTAGCCATTTAGACTGCACCTATTTGTTTGAAGGTTTGTGGGGGTCTGCCAGTGTCTGAGAGCAGCATGGACCTTCCCCAAAACAATTAAGTTCACAGGTATTCTCTAGTCTTATACTTCTGTTTGTACCGAGGGAAGGCAGGTCCATGCTAGTGAAATGCTGTTGACGACACAACAATATGTTTACAGTGGGCAGCTGTTATGAGGTGCTTCTCTCCAGGCTTGTGTCAGACTTTCCACACATTCATATCACATATCCCTAGTGCCATTACACATAATCCAAACAATTTAATTCCACGGCTGTTATAAACAAAATATGTCAGGATCTTCTGGCCGTAGTTGAGGCCAAGGAATGACAGGGAGAAGTTCCCAGCATTCTTTGCGGGTTTCTATTGGATTCCACAGGAGCAGGAATCATGGAACAACCTCTGTCTTGCAGACACAACAACATAACTAGCTCACGTTCTTGTGCAGCATCCCCACCCTCGCCTTGAGGACTCTTGGTTACAGTGTAGCCTACTGAAACAGTAACACTGGGTGTTATTTACTTCAACATACACAATACACCAAACACCCAATGAACAAAAGTGAACAGAACAAAATGACATGGAAGTTTTTAATTTTTAACCAGTGACCAGATACAAATATAACAAGACAGAAGAATTCTCTCTTAACAATAAAGGTGAATTTGTTCATGATGTCACATGACCATTTTCATACCGACCTCTCACCATTGGCCCTCTTCTGTACATGTTATAAATTATTCGTCACACAATCATAAAAACTCATTTTATGATCATCATCATTATTGCCAATGCTGTCATGAAATTCCTTTCTATTGATCATCTTTGTACCTGGAGTGAAGTGCAACCATGACAAACAAGTGTTTAGGTGTCACTGTTGCCAAGTGACAACCTTGTATTTTCCACTCCAGAATCTCATTAAGCCGTTGGAACATGCCACAACAAAATAAAAAGCAGTTGTAAAAACTTTTTTTGTGTCAGTTTCTGAAAAGTTAACACTGAGATATAAGATTTTCACCTGGTAACAGTGTCACGAGCAAGTTAGTGCCTGTGCATGTGTGTGCATGTGTGTATCACTGATGCAATTAAACAGTAATTATGGCCTTATTCATGACCACAGAGGAAGACGTAAGGAAGCAATAACCATTAAAGAA